TTAATACCCATTATGCTGAAAGTAAAATAAATTGCTGATCTTTTGCTTTCCTTGCTAGATCAGTTATGGCTTCACTTCCCAGGTTCTCGAAGGTAAAACCCTGTTCCCTTTTGTCTACCGGATGACTCCCAAAGAGGAAAGTCAGTACCAGGGGATTGTTGAATTGCTCCTGCATTTTGGATGGACGTGGATTGGCCTCTTCACTCCAGACAATGACAGTGGAGAAAGATTTGTGAGCGCTGTGAAACCTCTGCTGCTCAGCAAAGGGATCTGCATTGCTTTATCAAAAAGAGTACCAGAAAATGATCCAGGTCAATTTATCAGGCCTGGGGAACCTTTTTTCCTACGGAGACAAGTTGGGGTATTTGTTTCCTATATAACCAATGCACTAGGTATCATAATACTCCTGTCAATAAACATGGTATATGAGAAGGAAATAGGGGCAAAAGTCTGGATCACAACATCTTTGCTAGAAATCAGAAATGGCTTTTACATCCCTCCAAATTTATTCCAGCACCTCCATGGTTCTCTGTCCTTTGCAATTCAGACCGGGAATAAGGAGCAGCAAAGGTGACAAATTGCAGTTCAATCTTAGGGATTATTTCAATCAAGCATTTCAGTGTTCATATTCAAAGCATTTGTTGTCCATGAAAGGCAGGATAAGATGCAAAGAGGAGGAGAAACTGGAGCCATTATCCCAAGGGGTGCATGAGAGAGCCCTGTCTCTAGACAGCTATGGCACTTACATCCATGTTCAAGCTGTGGCTCAGGCCTTGCATGCTTTGCTGATGGTGGAGGAAGGAGAGCAATGGGGACCCCAAAGGCTACAGCGTGGCAGGTATTTCCTTCCCCTTTTTGCAAACTGCACTCACACAGATGCTGATCTTGACTGGGATAGACCTGCAACATATCATAATTACTATTAGTATTAGTAATAGTAGCAGACCGCCCAACATTTCTCTGATGAAAATAGGGACATACCATTCCATAATGAAAATTTTACTGTTGATACCTAGGGCTTTTTTACTAGGGGGTCGGGACTCACTCAAACTCAGTTCTGGTACCTCTCAGGCGGGTACCATTGCCATTCTCAGAGGGAGGTGTTCATGGTGATTTCCGGCACCCTTTTTGCTAGAAATATAGAATCATAGAATCATAGAGTTGGAAGAGACCACAAGGGCCATCGAGTCCAACCCCCTGCCAAGCAGGAAACACCATCAGAGCACTCCTGACATATGGTTGTCAAGCCTCTGCTTAAAGACCTCCAAAGAAGGAGACTCCACCACACTCCTTGGCAGCAAATTCCACTGTCCAACAGCTCTTACTGTCAGGAAGTTCTTCCTAATGTTTAGGTGGAATCTTCTTTCTTGTAGTTTGGATCCATTGCTCCGTGTCCGCTTCTCTGGAGCAGCATAAAACAACCTTTCTCCCTCCTCTATGTGACATTCCTTTATATATTTTGAACATGGCTATCATATCACCCCTTAACCTCCTCTTCTCCAGGCTAAACATGCCCAGCTCCCTTAGCCGTTCTCATAAGGCATCGTTTCCAGGCCTTTGACCATTTTGGTTGCCCTCCTCTGGACACGTTCCAGTTTGTCAGTGTCCTTCTTGAACTGTGGTGCCCAGAACTGGACACAGTACTCCAGGTGAGGTCTGACCAGAGCAGAATACAGTGGCACTATTATTTCCCTTGATCTAGATGCTATACTCCTATTGATGCAGCCCAGAATTGCATTGGCTTTTTTAGCTGCCGCGTCACACTGTTGGCTCATGTCAAGTTTGTGGTCAACCAAGACTCCTAGATCCTATCACTGTTTATACCCCACACATCTTTTTGGCTTGCCTCAGCACTCTGGGCAGCTCCCAAAATAAAGAAATTCATACTAAAATATAAAACATATTAAAATTCCCGATACAGGATTGGACGGCTTGCGGGTTGGATAACTCCACATCTGCCAACTTTTCTCCAATGAAGAAAAGGAAAAGTGGGACATTCCGGGATCAAAATGAAAAACTGACTCTAATCCAGGGACATCCCTGGAAAATTGGGGCACTTGCCAGGGTCTGTAGTAATAAAAATGGCTGAATAGGTATTCCAGTCACATGAGATACACCCAGGCCCCAAATCAGAAGAGGCTGAAGTGAGTAGGACTGAGATATCCATCTTGGCTTCCAGCTTTCTCAGTGCTGGTGCTTCCCCTGTCATTCCAGCTTCACCCTTTCTTGAGAGAAATTTGGTGTCTGAATACTTCCAGAGGCAGGCTGTGCTTGGATGAGAACTGGGAGCTGCCAGCGGACTTTGATATTGTTGAACTGGGTGATCTCTCCCAATAAGTCTTGTGTCGTTATTGGGAATATAAGGAGAGAGAACATCTGCTAGCATAAAGTTCACCATTAACCCAGAAGCCATTGAGTGGCCCAAGAAATTCAACAAGGTAGGGGGAATCACAGAGAGGGGAGGCTAGGAGATCCCAGCTTTCCTTGAACAACTGCTGCAAAATGGCTATATCAGGTTGACCAATGATGTCTTGACCGTCCAATAACAGCTGCAACGGCCACTCCTTCTTTCCACAGCAGCTGAGATAGGATGGAATTTGGGATGCTCACAGAAAGCATAGAGCCCAGAGGTCCTTAGAAAAGACACTATCTATTTCCGAGTCAGACTGAGAATTTAAGAATTCTGGATAGAATCTTTAACCAATGGACTACATGGATAAGAAGAAAAGGGGAAAGCCCCTAGTAAAAGGGAACTATTGGGTTTTCATACATGCAGAAGGATGGAAAGCGATTTATTTTTGAAATGATAATTACTGATTTATTGTGGATTTTTTAAATTTGTGGAGTAAGCTCACTTGTAGATGTTGCAATAGTTAAACTATTGTATGTGCAGGAATAGAGAAGTGCACAGTTGTTGGTGAAAGATGATAATTAAAAAAAAACCTATTGTAATATAAGATTAACGTTAAGAAATGGCATGTAAACTAGAAATAACTAGGGAAATCACATTTCAGACTCCATTGCCATTTTCTTTGAAGATTTATTAAGCAGGGAAGCAGGTAAACGGAGAAGAGGAATCAGAGTTCTGTGGCGCAAACCTCAGTTGTCCTGAACGAATTATGAAGAACAAGATATTCTGGTCACCCCAATGGTCAGTGGGGGTTGAAGGGACCCTGATGAGGGCGTCAAAGGCTGCAGACCATATACCGGGTATCTGTTTCAATTCACCCTATGAGTGAATGACATACCCACAAATACTCCTAACTGTTCCTCTTTGTTGCACCTTCTTGTCTTTCTGGTTAGGCCGTACCTCGTTCCAGGTGTACAGAGAGATGTCGACCTGGATATGCCAAGCTGGTTCTAGAAGAAAAGCCCGTTTGCTGCTATGCTTGTGCTCGGTGTGCGGAAGGGACCTTCTCCGCCCAGGAAGGTGGGTGACTCCAAGGGGGGAGGTATTTCTACAGAGAGTAAACACAGGGCAGAAATCCAGTCTCACCCACTTTTTGTGAGAATTCTGCAGACATTGTGGAATGTGGCTCCTTCCTCAACTTCCTTAGTATTAATCACCTTCATTACATCCTGGAAGAGAGTTGAAAGGAATGATCATAAGGAAGAAATCTCTAGGATTTCTTCAAAACGTAATAGAGCACAGATCATTAGGGATGTAACTGATGCTGCAGCCACTCTTTTTCCTCTTCCTCAGATGCAGAACATTGCACCAAATGCCCAGAAGATCACCATTCAAACAAGGACAGAGATCATTGTGTCCCCAAGATTACCACCTTCCTGACTTATGGAGAATATTTGGGAATTGTTTTAGCTTCCGTTGCCCTCTTCTTGTCCTTAACAGCAGGCATTGTGTTGGGAATCTTCATTAAATACAAGGAAACTCCCATAGTCAAAGCCAACAACCGGGACCTCTCCTACATCCTGCTTGTCTCCCTCCTGCTTTCCTTTTTGTCCTCCTCCCTCTTCATCGGGCGCCCAAGGAAAGAGACCTGCCTTCTCCGACAAACGGCCTTCAGCATCATCTTCTCAGCTGCTGTTTCTTCTGTCTTGGCAAAGACCATCACGGTGGTGCTGGCCTTTCTGGCCACAAAGCCCGGGAACAGGGTGAGGAGATGGCTGGGCAAGAGTCTGGCCAACTCATTGTCATCTCCTGTTCTGGGGGGCAAGTTCTCATCTGCACCATCTGGCTGGGCTCTTCTCCCCCATTCCCAGAGCCCGACATGCTCTCCCAGCTGGAAGAGATCATCCTGCAATGCAACGAAGGGTCTGTGGCCATGTTTTACGTTGCCCTCGGCTACATGGGCTTCTTGGCTGCCACCTGCTTCACGGTGGCTTTCCTTTTTTTTTTTTTATAAATTTTTATTGGTTTTACAAAATTTTAAAAACAAACAAACACTTAAAAAGACATACAAACACGCATAATTTCATATTGTTTCTCATAACCCTCTTTTCTGGGACTCCCCCATACCCCCCCCCTTTCTGCATCCCAATGTCCATAGTTTTATAGCAACTCCCAATATTACTTTCCAACCTCTGTCCTTAGTTATCTCTATAATCTGACCTTATATCGCTGTATCCCTTTGTTTCTGAAAACCATAACATTCTAACATTCATCAAGTTTATAATAGTCCTTAAGATAACTTTTAAATTTTCTCCATTCTTCTTCCACCGTCTCTTTTCCTTGGTCACGGATTCTGCCTGTCATCTCGGCCAGTGACATATAGTCCATCACTTTCATCTGCCATTCTTCCAGAGTGGGTAAGTCTTGTGTCTTCCAATACTTTGCGATAAGTATTCTTGCTGCTGTTGTAGCGTACATGAAAAAAGTTCTATCCCTCTTTGGCACCAATTGGCCGACAATGCCTAAGAGAAAGGCCTCTGGTTTTTTAAGAAAAGTACTTTTAAGTACCTTTTTCATTTCATTATAGATCATTTCCCAGAAAGCCTTAATCTTCGGGCATGTCCACCAAAGGTGATAGAAGGTTCCTTCAGTCTCTTTACATTTCCAACATTTGTTATCGGGCAAATGGTAAATTTTTGCAAGCTTGGCTGGGGTCATGTACCACCTGTAAATCATTTTCATTATGTTTTCTCTTAAGGCATTGCATGCCGTAAACTTAACACCGGTGGTCCATAACTGTTCCCAGTCAGCAAACATAATGTCATGACCAATATCTTGTGCCCATTTAATCATAGCTGATTTCACCGTTTCATCCTGTGTATTCCATTTCAGCAACAAGTTATACATTCTTGATAAATTCTTAGTATTGGGTTCTAACAGTTCAAACTCTAGTTTTGATTTTTCCACCTGAAAGCCAATTTTCCTGTCCTGTTTGAAAAGCTCCATTATTTGATAATATTGAAGCCAGTTTTGTACTTTATGTTTCAATTTGTCATAGCTTTGTAATTTCCACTTATCTCCATCCTGTTCCAAAATTTCCCAATACTTCGGCCATCCGACCTCCATATTGAGTTTCTTTACTGCTTTAGCCTCAACTGGTGACACCCATCTAGGGGTTTTGTTTTCCAACAGGTCTTTATACCTTATCCATACATTAAACAATGCTTTTCTAACAATGTGATTTTTAAAGGCACTATGCTGCTTGATTTTGTCATACCATAAATATGCATGCCAACCAAAAACATTGTTAAAGCCTTCCAGATCCAAGATATCTGTGTTCTCGAGGAGCATCCATTCCTTCAGCCAGCAAAAAGCTGCTGCCTCATAGTACAATTTTAAGTCCGGCAGGGCAAAACCCCCTCTTTCTTTGGCATCTGTCAATATTTTAAGTTTGATTCTGGGCTTTTTGCCCTGCCAGACAAATTTCGAGATATCTTTCTGCCACCTCTTAAAGCATTCCATCTTGTCAAGAATCTGCAAGGTCTGAAACAAAAATAACATTCTAGGCAATACATTCATTTTAATCACTGCAATTCGGCCTAACATTGACAATTTCAGATTTGACCATATTTCTAGATCTTTTTTAATCTCTGACCAACATTTTTCATAGTTATCCTTATACAAATTCATATTTTTAGATGTCAAATAAACCCCTAGGTATTTCACCTTCTTAACCACCGTCAACCCTGTCTCCTCTTGGAATTTTTCCTTTTCCATTTCTGTTAGATTTTTACCTAAGACTTTAGTTTTTTGCTTATTCAACTTAAATCCAGCTACCTGGCCAAACTGTTGAATTATTTCTAAAACCTTTTTCGTACTAGTGTTTGGCTCTTGCAAAGTCAATACTAGGTCATCTGCAAATGCTCTTAACTTATAATGTTTAGCTCCGACCTGCACTCCTTTAACCTGCTGGTCATCCCTAATCATATTCAGCAACACCTCCAGAACCGAAATAAAAAGTAATGGGGAGATTGGGCACCCCTGTCGTGTTCCTTTTTCTATCTTAAGCTCCTCAGTTATCACATTATTTACAATCAATTTGGCTTTTTGTTCAGAATATATTGCAGCTATACCATTCTCAAAACCTTGTCCTACCCCCATCCCCTGAAGATTCTTTATCATAAAACTCCAGGAAATATTGTCGAAGGCTTTCTCCGCATCCACAAATATCAATACTGCTTTAGTATTTATATTCACCTCTAGCTTTTCCAAAATATCTATTATGTTCCTTACATTGTCTGCTAGGTGTCTTTTTGGGAGAAAGCCTGCTTGATTCTTGTGAATCTTTTCCATCAACACTTTTTTAAATCTTTTTGCCAAAATGTCTGCAAAGATTTTGTAATCCACGTTAAGTAGTGATATTGGGCGGTAGTTCTTCAGTTGAGTCTTCTCAGTCTCTGTCTTTGGTATGAGTGAGATGTATGCTTCTTTCCACGATTCCGGTGCCTTTTTCCCCTCAAGAATCTCATTACAGACTTCTTTTAGTGGTTCACGGTGGCTTTCCTAGCCAGGAAGCTGCCCGGCTCCTTCAACGAAGCCAAGCTGATCACCTTCAGCATGCTGGTCTTCTGCAGCGTTTGGGTGTCTTTTGTGCCCACCTACCTGAGCACCAAGGGCAAGTACATGGTGGCCGTGCAGATCTTCTCTATGTTGGCCTCCAGTGCTGGGCTTCTGGGCTGCATCTTCCTTCCCAAGTGCTACATGATTGTGCTGAGGCCTGATCTGAACACAAAGGAGCACCTGACAACCAGAAATTAAGGGAACACCTGATTCTTAAAATAGGCCATGTTCCCGATGCCCAGAAGTGCATAAAGGAAACACACTTGCTCATCCATGTTGCTCATTCTTCATCTGTGAAAGAGATTGTGTTCATTCTTAGCCCAGGTTTTGTGTAGTCCTGTTGACATGAACCGTAAGATGGGAGGAAATGTTTTGCTACCTTGGTTGTCCAAGGACTACAATGAGTCCTGGTCTACTGCCCTTAGTTTGTAAAGTTTTATCATTTAATCATTTTTTGCTTTGAGAAGTTATATTTATCTCACAACAAGATAGGCTGGAGGGAGAGAGGAGTTAGGTCTTTGAGTGTGATTCCTTTGTCCTAACTACCTATTAACCATATCAATTCTGATATTCAACAATAGTTTCTAGTTATGTCATTTCTATTTATTGAATTTTCTCCATTTTCTACATGTATGCTGTATCATTCATAAGTACACTTCATGTCATTTCGTTCTCCTAAGCTTTGTATATCAATAAACTGAGAAATTCATTTAAGACATCTTCCGTAGTCTGTTGGTTTAATTTCTGTATTGTGTAAGCTCTGCTCTCTGTTCCAAAAAGTAGCAACTGACCTTAGCCAAGCCTTGACTGGAGTCCAATGGGTTTTATTACACTGGCCTGGATGTGACATGTTGTGCACTGATGTTGAGTGGATCACCAGATTACGAGTGAGCAAGCAACAAGTTTAGCATTGGAGGAAAGCAATGAGACGATGCCAGATAAGTTGTATTCCCTGCCTGCCAAACCTTTTAAGAGGAGGCATCTTATGCTCAGTCAGGAAGGAAAAGCAAGAGGCCTCCTCCTCCAACTCAGGTTCCTCCCATTCAGGTCCCCATTATAGAGCAAAGCCAAGATCAAAAGGGCAAGTAAAAATAATTTACAGATCAGCCACTGACAAAGCATTTATATTAATTAGTCAAGATTGCATCCTACTTAAACTTTCATCACTTCAAATTGGTGGAAACTCTCATTCTTATTACGATTCAACTTGTAGCATTCCAATGAAGGGTGCTATATAAATTTAAGCTGGGAGCAGCCTCTGGCTTGATTTATTTCATTATTCTTACTAATATTAATAAGTAATAAAGTATGAATTTGGGGGGAGGGGAATACATTACATTAGTGTCCAGTCATTGCATTTCTATAGGATACTTCATTTCAATCAATCAATCAATCAATCAATCAAATCTTTATTACAGTAGTAGACCAGCATCAGTAGAGTGGGGTACAATCATTTTCAGTCTGTAAAACGTTTCGGAAAGCGAAAAAGTATTTAACACAAAGTATATATAAAAGTCTAAAAGACGCTAAAAGAAGGGTTTGGGAGCATTAAACAGATGTGGAAGAGCATAAAAGGTCATTGAGAAAGGAGGTGGGGAGAGTAGAGTCATTGAGAAAGGAGGTGGGGAGAGTAGAGCTGGGGAAGGCAATGGGTCACAAAAGGCAGCAGTGGAAAGCGGGGAGAGGTGGGGCGGGGTTTAGTGGAGAGTGGTCACGCCCACTAGGCTGGGCAAGGCAAAGCTGGGAGGAGCCTCTGGCTTGACTTATTTCATTATTATTACTAATATGAATTAGTAATGAAATATTAATTTGGGGGAATGTATTATAATATAATATAATTAATATAATATAATATAATATAATATAATATAATATAATATAATTATATTATTATACAGGGTGATTCATAATAAATTATACAGTTTCAACACCCTATAAAAAAGAATATAATATATCCCATGTTACCTGTGACAGAATTGTAGGGGAATGTTTAAAGTATTTTAGAAACAGTCAGAGATGTTCTATGTGTGCACCCTTTGTCACACGACACACATCACAATCGAAAATGCCGTTGCACAAGAAACTCCGTTTTGCTCAATTCAAGAACCCAAAACGCCTTCTCCACTCCAGACGCCGCCATTTCGCCTGACTAGTCACGTGACACGCGCACTCTCACCTCCATCACTTCCCTCAGTCGCGGAAGACAAACTGTATCAGTACATCTGCCTCACGGTTCGCAGCTGTTTTCCGTGTCGGCGCCTGTCTTACAGGATCTGGAAAATGTATATTTCATTATGAATCACCCTGTATTATATTATTTCGGTGTCCAATCACTGCATTACTATAGGATTTTTCATTTCAATCAATCAAATCTTGATTACGGTAGTAGACCAGCATCAGTAGGGTGGGGTACAGTCATTTCCAAACTGTAAAACGTAAAGCTAAAAAATATTAAAACACAAAGTATACATAAAAGTCTAAAAGAAGCGAAAAGAAGGGTTTCGGAGCATTAAACAGATGTGGAAGAGCATAAAAGGTTAGTATATAAAAGACTCTGGCCCTCCATTTCCAGGGCACTCTGAGATGAGTGTTCATGAAATCTAGTGTCACAACAACCACCATTTCTTTATACCCCACCATCTGGCTTGGTTTCCCCAGCCACTCAGGGCGGCTCCCAATAGAATATGAAAAACACGAGAAATACATCAAACATTACAAACTTCCCTGAACAGGGCTACCTTCAGGTGTCTTCTAAAAGTCAGGTAGTCGTTTCTTTCCTTGACATCGGCTGGGAGGGCGCCACCACCAAGAAGGCCCTCTGCCTGGTTCCCTCTTTGTGGCCCAGGTCATCATCCGATGAATTGGGAGCGTCATTTATTTCTGTGTTTATAATGAAAGAAAACATGCATTTTAAAAGTATTGCACCTTGATTGTAATATTAAGCATGCACTTAAAATTACTACTCACAACAATGAATAAGTGATTGAAATGCACACATAGTTAAGCAGTATAAATATGTGTGAACAATGTTCTTAAAAACATTTGTTAACCAAGTCTAATATTACTATCTTGTTGTGATTATTATTACTTTTCTTGCTACTAATCCCAGTGGCTTACAAGACTGAGCTCCATTCTGCCTTGGTCAGACGTCACCTGGAATACTGTGTCCAGTTCTGGGCACCACAATTTAAGAAGGATGTTGACCAATGGGAAGAAACCCCTCCAGAGAGATGCTGGTTCAGGCAGCCCCCTGAGCTTAGACTACGAAGCCTCTGAGGGCGTGCAGAGTGCAAATCCCCCCAGGGGCCCCTCTCTCTCCTGGGCTCACCTGGGGGCCCTGTCCCTGCCAGCCTCTCCAGCCTCTGAGGGCGTGCAGAGTGCAGATCCCCCCGGGGCCCCTCTCTCTCCTGGGCTCACCTGGGGGCCCTGCCCCTGCCAGCCTCTCCAGCCTCTGAGGGCGTGCAGAGTGCAGATCCCCCCGGGGCCCCTCTCTGTCCCTGGCTCACCTGGGGGCCCTGCCCCTGCCAGCCTCTCCGGCCTCTGAGGGCGTGCAGAGTGCAAATCCCCCCAGGGGCCCCTCTCTGTCCCTGGCTCACCTGGGGGCCCTGCCCCTGCCAGCCTCTCCGGCCTCTGAGGGCGTGCAGAGTGCAGATCCCCCCGGGGCCCCTCTCTGTCCCTGGCTCACCTGGGGGCCCTGCCCCTGCCAGCCTCTCCGGCCTCTGAGGGCGTGCAGAGTGCAGATCCCCCCGGGGCCCCTCTCTCTCCTGGGCTCACCTGGGGGCCCTGCCCCTGCCAGCCTCTCCGGCCTCTGAGGGCGTGCAGAGTGCAGATCCCCCCGGGGCCCCTCTCTCTCCTGGGCTCACCTGGGGGCCCTGCCCCTGCCAGCCTCTCCGGCCTCTGAGGGCGTGCAGAGTGCAAATCCCCCCAGGGGCCCCTCTCTCTCCTGGGCTCACCTGGGGGCCCTCCCCCTGCCAGCCCCTCCGGCCTCTGAGGGCGTGCAGAGTGCAGATCCCCCCGGGGCCCCTCTCTCTCCTGGGCTCACCTGGGGGCCCTGCCCCTGCCAGCCTCTCCGGCCTCTGAGGGCATGCAGAGTGCAGATCCCCCCGGGGCCCCTCTCTGTCCCTGGCTCACCTGGGGGCCCTGCCCCTGCCAGCCTCTCCGGCCTCTGAGGGCGTGCTGAGTGCAAATCCCCCCAGGGGCCCCTCTCTCTCCTGGGCTCACCTGGGGGCCCTGCCCCTGCCAGCCTCTCCGGCCTCTGAGGGCGTGCAGAGTGCAGATCCCCCCCGGGGCCCCTCTCTGTCCCTGGCTCACCTGGGGGCCCTGCCCCTGCCAGCCTCTCCGGCCTCTGAGGGCGTGCAGAGTGCAAATCCCCCCAGGGGCCCCTCTCTCTCCTGGGGGCCCTGCCCCTGCCAGCCTCTCCGGCCTCTGAGGGCGTGCAGAGTGCAAATCCCCCCAGGGGCCCCTCTCTCTCCTGGGCTCACCTGGGGGCCCTGCCCCTGCCAGCCTCTCCGGCCTCTGAGGGCGTGCAGAGTGCAAATCCCCCCGGGGCCCCTCTCTCTCCTGGGCTCACCTGGGGGCCCTGCCCCTGCCAGCCCCTCCGGCCTCTGAGGGCGTGCAGAGTGCAAATCCCCCCAGGGGCCCCTCTCTCTCCCGGGCTCACCTGGGGGCCTTCCCCTGCCAGCCCCTCCGGCCTCTGAGGGCGTGCAGAGTGCAGATCCCCCAGGGGCCCCTCTCTCTCTTGGGGGCTCTGCCCCTGCCAGCCTCTCCGGCCTCTGAGGGCGTGCAGAGTGCAGATCCCCCCGGGGCCCCTCTCTCTCCCAGGCTCACCTGGGGGCCCTGCCCCTGCCAGCCTCTCCGGCCTCTGAGGGCGTGCAGAGTGCAAATCCCCCCCGGGGCCCCTCTCTCTCCCCAGGCTCACCTGGGGGCCCTGCCCCTGCCAGCCTCTCCGGCCTCTGAGGGCGTGCAGAGTGCAGATCCCCCAGGGGCCCCTCTCCCTCCTGGGCTCACCTGGGGTCCCTCCCCCTGCCAGCCTCTCCGGCCTCTGAGGGCGTGCAGAGTGCAGATCCCCCCCGGGGCCCCTCTCTCTCCCGGGCTCACCTGGGGGCCCTGTCCCTGCCAGCCTCTCCAGCCTCTGAGGGCGTGCAGAGTGCAGATCCCCCCGGGGCCCCTCTCTGTCCCTGGCTCACCTGGGGGCCCTGTCCCTGCCAGCCTCTCCAGCCTCTGAGGGCGTGCAGAGTGCAGATCCCCCCCGGGGCCCCTCTCTCTCCCGGGCTCACCTGGGGGCCCTGCCCCTGCCAGCCTCTCCGGCCTCTGAGGGCGTGCAGAGTGCAGATCCGTCCCGGGGCCCCTCTCTCTCCTGGGCTCACCTGGGGGCCTTCCCCCTGCCAGCCTCTCCAGCCTCTGAGGGCGTGCAGAGTGCAGATCCCCCCCGGGGGCCCCTCTCTCTCCTGGGCTCACCTGGGGGCCCTGCCCCTGCCAGCCTCTCCGGCCTCTGAGGGCGTGCAGAGTGCAGATCCCCCCAGGGGCCCCTCTCTCTCCTGGGCTCACCTGGGGGCCCTGCCCCTGCCAGCCTCTCCGGCCTCTGAGGGCGTGCAGAGTGCAGATCCCCCCGGGGCCCCTCTCTCTCCTGGGCTCACCTGGGGGCCTTCCCCCTGCCAGCCTCTCCAGCCTCTGAGGGCGTGCAGAGTGTAGATCCCCCGGGGCCCCTCTCTCTCCTGGGCTCACCTGGGGGCCCTGCCCCTGCCAGCCTCTCCGGCCTCTGAGGGCGTGCAGAGTGCAGATCCCCCGGGGCCCCTCTCTCTCCTGGGCTCACCTGGGGGCCCTGCCCCTGCCAGCCTCTCCGGCCTCTGAGGGCGTGCAGAGTGCAGATCCCCCCGGGGCCCCTCTCTCTCCTGGGCTCACCTGGGGGCCTTCCCCCTGCCAGCCTCTCCAGCCTCTGAGGGCATGCAGAGTGCAGATCCCCCCAGGGGCCCCTCTCTCTCCTGGGCTCACCTGGGGGCCTTCCCCCTGCCAGCCTCTCCAGCCTCTGAGGGCGTGCAGAGTGCAGATCCCCCCAGGGGCCCCTCTCTCTCCTGGGCTCACCTGGGGGCCTTCCCCCTGCCAGCCTCTCCGGCCTCTGAGGGCGTGCAGAGTGCAGATCCCCCCGGGGCCCCTCTCTCTCCTGGGCTCACCTGGGGGCCTTCCCCCTGCCAGCCTCTCCGGCCTCTGAGGGCGTGCAGAGTGCAAATCCCCCCAGGGGCCCCTCTCTCTCCTGGGCTCACCTGGGGGCCTTCCCCCTGCCAGCCTCTCCAGCCTCTGAGGGCGTGCAGAGTGCAGATCCCCCCAGGGGCCCCTCTCTCTCCTGGGCTCACCTGGGGGCCTTCCCCCTGCCAGCCTCTCCAGCCTCTGAGGGCGTGCAGAGTGCAGATCCCCCCAGGGGCCCCTCTCTCTCCTGGGCTCACCTGGGGGCCTTCCCCCTGCCAGCCTCTCCGGCCTCTGAGGGCGTGCAGAGTGCAGATCCCCCCGGGGCCCCTCTCTCTCCTGGGCTCACCTGGGGGCCTTCCCCCTGCCAGCCTCTCCGGCCTCTGAGGGCGTGCAGAGTGCAGATCCCCCCGGGGCCCCTCTCTCTCCTGGGCTCACCTGGGGGCCCTGTCCCTGCCAGCCTCTCCAGCCTCTGAGGGTGTGCAGAGTGCAGATCCCCCCCGGGGCCCCTCTCTCTCCTGGGCTCACCTGGGGGCCCTGTCCCTGCCAGCCTCTCCAGCCTCTGAGGGTGTGCAGAGTGCAGATCCCCCCGGGGCCCCTCTCTCTCCTGGGCTCACCTGGGGGCCTTCCCCCTGCCAGCCTCTCCGGCCTCTGAGGGCGTGCAGAGTGCAGATCCCCCCAGGGGCCCCTCTCTCTCCCGGGCTCACCTGGGGCCCTGCCCCTGCCAGCCTCTCCGGCCTCTGAGGGCGTGCAGAGTGCAGATCCCCCCGGGGCCCCTCTCTCTCCTGGGCTCACCTGGGGGCCTTCCCCCTGCCAGCCTCTCCGGCCTCTGAGGGCGTGCAGAGTGCAGCTGGTGTCCCTGGCGGAGGCAGAGGCAGGAGGGCCATGGAGCCAGGCTTTGAGATCCCCTCGGAGGGGAAGGGGCCACCTTCCAAAGGCCCTGCAACTCCCGCCAGCCTCTGCCAGCCTGGTCCACACTGGGAGGGGGGGCAGACTTCCCAGCATGCATTGCCAGCTCTGCCAGGCCAATGGTCGATTCCCAGCCTCAATAAATGTGAAATTTGCTGGTTTTTCCAGTGTATAACCAAATCAATCAATCTCAAGGTGCCTTTTGTTTGGTTTCACTATTTAGCTTTATGGATAAATTAACCTCTATTAGGTTTCATTTCCCTCACGTCCTTCTTCCCAGCATGCTTTGCTGCCCCTTCTTCTCACAAACAAGGATCCTGTTTCCTGTAATTGAAATTTACCCTTTTTCCAGTGTATAACTGAATGAATAAATCCCAAGATGTCTTTTGTTCGGTTTCACTCATTAGCTTTATTGATAAATTATCCTTTATTAGGTTTCATTTCATTTCCCCTCACGTCCTTCTTCCCAGCATGCTTTGCTGCCCCTTCTTCTCACAAACAAGGATCCTGTTTCCTATAATTGAAATTTACCCTTTTTCCAATGTATAACTCAATAAATAAGCCCCAAGATGTCTTCTGTTAGGCTTCACTTATTAGCTTTATTGATAAATTATCCTTTATTAGGTTTCATTTCATTTCCCCTCACGTCCTTCTTCCCAGCATGCTTTGCTGCCCCTTCTTCTCACAAACAAGGATCCT